GCTGGGTCAAATGGTAATTCTAGTTCTAGATCCTTGAGGAATCACCACACTGTCTTCCACAATCGTTGAACTGGCTTACAGTCCCACCAACAGTGTAAAAGTGTTCCTATTTCTCCACATCCTCTCCAGCACCTGTTGTTTCCTGACTTTTTAACTGGTGTTATAATGACAAAATTATAGGAACAGAGAAAAGATTAGTAGTTGCCAGGAAGTGGGAGGAAAGTGACTGTGGCTATAAAAGGTATCATGAGGAATTCTGGTGGTGATGGAAATGTCCTATCTTGATCTTATCAATGCCAATATCCTGGTTATATTATTTTATTGGATATCAGTGGGGAAAACTGAGTAAAAGGTGCATAGGATATCTCAGTATTAACTCTTATAACTATACGCAAATCTACTATCTCTTCAAAGATATGTATGTACATATATTTACACAGAAACACATATATATTATCAAAATAGACAACAATCGTATATAAATTATAAAAGTGTAAAGATCTTTGTCAGAAAGAGGGCAAGAGACTGACCTCAGACTATAATTATCTAGAGTAACCCTCAAAAAAAAACAACAAAAGTATATAGGTTCCAAACTAGTAGAGGAGGATAAATAAAATGATTTTAAAAAAATACTAAGCAAGGTTGGGCGCAGTGGCTCACGCCTGTAATCCTGGCACTTTAGGAGGTCAAGGTGGGCAGATAACTTGAGGCCAAGAGTTTGAGACCAGCCTGGACAACATGGTGAAACCCTGTCTCTACTAAAAATACAAAAATTAGCCAGACATAATGGCACACACCTATAATCCCACCTACTGGGGAGGCTGAGGCACAAGAATCACTTGCACCTGGGAGGCAGAGGTGGCAGTGAGCTGAGATGGCACCACTGCACTCAAGCCTGGGTGACAGAGTGAGGCCCTGTCTCAAAAATAAAATACTAAGCAAGACAAAAAATTTTTTAAGACAAGAAAATGGTAGAAAAGACTGCAAATCCAGTGGACCCAAAGTAAGATGATAGAAATAAATCCAAATATATCAGCAATTACAATGAAAGCAAATGGAATAAATGGTCCATTGAAAACCAAATACTGTCAGATTGGATTTTAAAAATAATTAAGAGGGACATTTTACACATGACTTAGAAAGGTATAAGTAAAAAGACAAAGTTATGCCAGGCCAGGTGTGGTGGCTCACGCCTGTAATACCAGCACTTTGGAGGCCGAGGTGGGTGGATCACCTGAGGTCAGGAGTTTGAGACCAGCCTGACCAACATGGAGAAACCCCATCTCTACTAAAAATACAAAAATTAGCCGGGCATAGTGGCACATGCCTGTAATCCCAGTTACTTGGGAAGCTGAAGCAGGAGAATCACTTGAACCCAGGAGGCAGAGGTTGCAGTGAGTCAAGATCATGCCATTGCACTCCAGTCTGGTCAACAAGAGTGAAACTCCATTTCAAAAAAGTTACGCCACACAAACTTTTTCTTTTTTTGGTTAATAAATCCTTCATGGAAATCATATAAATATTAGCCAAAAGAAATCAAGTAGGGCTAGATTAATACCAAAGAACAAGGCAAAAGTATTATTATATCTATAAAGAAGTTACTTCTAAATAAATAAATGGTTTAATTCACTAAGAAGATATGACAAGTATGCGTCAGTATATAACCTAAGGAAATAGTCCCAAAATGTATAAAGGAAAATTAACAGAACCTAGCCAGGCATGGTGATGTACACTTGTAGTCCCAGCTAGTTGGGACACTGACGCAGGACAATCGCTTGAGCCTAGGAGTCTGAGTGTAGCCTAGGCAATATAGCGAGACCCTGTCTCTTAAAAAAAATAAGAGAACCACAAGTAAAAATACACAAATCCAAATTATAGTAAATTTGAACATGCCTCTCTAGTAATTCATTGAATAAGCAGTAAGGATATATAAGATCTGAATATGATTAACTCAGTTGATTACATGGAGATATATAGAAGCCTGTACCAAACAACTGTAGAAACTATCACCATCAAGCAATTCTACTCGTAGGTACATACCCAAGAAAACTGAAAATGTGTGGACACACACCAAGTTGTAAAAGAATGTGCACAGCAGCCTCATTCATAACCAAGAAGTAAAAAGAACTCAAATGTCCAAATAATGAACAGAATGTACAGTACACACACACACGAAAATTATTCAGCCATAAGGAGTCCTGATACGTGCTACAACACGGAGAATCTTGAAACCATTAAGTGAAAGAAGCCACACATGTATTATACAATTCGATTTATATGAAATGTCTGGAATAAGCAAATCCATAGAGACAAAAATAGGTTAGTATTTTCCAGAGACTGGAGGAAGAAAAAGTGGGGAGTGACTGCTAATGAGTAGGGGAGGTTCTTTCTGAAGTGATGAAATTGTTTTAGAATTTGAGAGTGGTGATGGCTGCATAACTTTGTGAACATACTAAAAACCACAGAAGTGCACTTCAAAGGGGGTACAACACTTTAAAAAGTGAATTTTAAGGTATGTGAATATCTCAGTAAAAACAATTTTTAAATAAAAACAGGCCTGGAAAATCAGAAACATAATTCTAAATAATTTCTGGATCAAAAAATAAATCATATAAAGATCTGAGAACTACAATATAAAAATACAGAAAAAAGTCATAACAACATCAGAAAAAAATTGAGCTGATAACAAAAATAGTACACATAAAAATTTGTGGCATGAAGAAAAATGGCACTTAGGAAATTTATAAAATGCCTACATACAAGATATAATTAACACAGGACTCGTATCTCGAATGTATGTATAGGATATATAGAAGATAGAAGAAAGACCTGAAACTATCATAGCAATCAAACCCACAAATCTAGATTTAGGAAAATCAGAGTAAACCAGCTGGATTCTTCAACCAATAAACTGCAAGAGAAAAAAAAGAAGGGAATAAAGAAGGAACTTACAGACTAAAAGCAACTTAAAAGACATCAATCGATTATTATTATTAAACTTTATTTGGATCTGATTCAATATAAAGTATAAAAAATAATTAAAACATTTGAACACTGGATTGGATATCAATGAAGAACAGTGAAAAAATAACGATCTTTTCAATAACCAGTGCTAAACTGGATAGCCATATGAAGGAAAAAAATGAAACCTCATCTCTACCTCACATTCTACACAAAAGCCAATTTCAGATGAATTATAGACCTAAACAAGCCAAAAAATAGGCCAGGCAGGCATGGTGGCTCACAACTATAATCCCAGCACTCCGGGAGGCCAAGGCAGGAGGATCGCTTGAGCCCAGGCATTCGAAACCAGCCTGGGCAACAGTGGAATCTGGTCTCTTCAAAAAATAAAAAATCTGCTGCGCATGGCGGTGCATGGCTATAGTCCCAGCTCAGAAGGCTGAGGTGGAAGGATCACTTGGCCCAGGGAGGCCGAGACTGCAGTGAGCTGTTATTGTGCCACTGCACTCCAGCTTTGGAGACACAACAAGACTCTGTCTTAAAAAAACAAACAAAAAAAGCAAAAGCCATAAAGCTTTTAAGAAGATTCATGATTACATGCAAGAAAATCTTCATGAGTTGGAGTAGTGAATGACTCCTTTAATACAAAATATAGAACACTAGACAGAGGAAAGGTCTAAATAGGACATTAAAATTACAAATGTCCATGAAGAATGGAACAATAAGCCACAGAATGGGAGAGTATATATATTCAACACATGTAAATTAACAAAGGACTAGTATGCTGAACATACGAAGAACTGAAATTAAGAAAAAGTAAAGGCAATTAGAACAATAAGCAAAAGACTAGAACAGGCATGTCATAAAATGCTCAACCTCATTTAAACTTAGGAATAAGCAAATTAACACCACACATATATCATTACACAGCAACAACTTGTTAAAACTAGACCAGACTGGGCAACATGGTGAAACCCTGTCTCTACAAAAAATACAAAAATTAGCCAGGTGTGGTGGCACATGCCTGTAGTCCCAGGTACTTAGGAGGCTGAGGCAGGAGGACTGCTTGAGCCTGGGAGGCTAAGGCTGCAGTGAGTCATGTTTGTACCACTGCTCTCTAGCCTGGATAACAAAGTGAGGCCCTGTCCCAAAGGAAAAAAAAACACACACACAATAAAAACAAAAACAACAACTTATACTGACCACACCAACTGTAGGTGAACATTTGGAATACAAGAAACACATTCTGTTGCTATGAACATTCTTATACTTCAGATCATTCCAAACTGTTTTTCCAGTAGCTGTACACTTTTCTCCTATGGAAACACTAATTGGTACAATCACTTTAGAAACTAGTTTGTCATTATTCTATCCTAATACCCAGCTATTCCTCTTCTGGATATATACCTTAGACTCTAGGACCTAGCGAAACAAAATGAACATGTACAAGAATGTTCTTAGAAGAATTTTATAATAGCATCAAACTGTACACAATCCAAATATCAATCAGCGGCAGAATAGTTAGTGGGATGTTCATAAATACCATCCTATATGAAAATTAAAATGAATGAATTCAATATGCACAAAAGCATGGCTATAAAGAAAAATCAACACATGAAAAATACAGCAAAAATCATATAAAGTTCATTAATAAAAACTATATCTGTTTAAAATACATAAACTAAATGATATTATTTGCATAAATAGCTGAGAAAACTCTAAAAAACACCAAGGAAAGGATTATCACCAAAGTCTATTTTGTGATTATTTCTGGGAGAAGGAAGTGAGTTGTGGCTGGGAGACTGCATACAGAAGTTTTTAAGGGTCTATAAATGATCTTTCTACAACTGAGTTGTGGTTAAGTGAATGTCAACTTTACAACTGCATATTAAACTGTTCATATTTTAGGTACTTTTATATAATTATGCTTAACAACCACACACACTGTACACACTACACACTCTCTCACACACACACACACAAACAAACAAGCATAGGTTGATTTTTCTATCAAAATTTGAACTATTATCTTCAGGTAGTAAATTCTACCCATTTTTATTTTTAATAATAGGAGTATATACCTTCCCACAATATAATGAACATTACAGGAAAATTAAGGCAACTTATATTTACAGAATGCCTTTCTGTGTAAAACAGGACACTATACTCTTCCTATACATTAAAGCATTAAAGATTAACTTTAAAAGGTACTTGTTATCAGTCTCTTTACTGAGGCAATTGCCAATGTTCAGATAAATGTCAGAGCTAATCCAAATCTGAAACTTGAAATTTCTTTTCCCACCATTCTATACAAATTCCCAATGCAAACAGTTTACTATCCATCTATTAATCTTCCCCTTACAATATTCTGTGGCATCTTCCTCATGGGATGGTCAATTGATTTATTCATGTATTCAACATTCAATCATTCAGTCAACAAATATTTCTTTAGTACTTATTATATTCCAGGTTCTGTTTTTATATAAGTTATACAAGGATGAAAAGGAATGGCAAAATCTAAGCTTACATTTTGGTTGGGGAGGCAGGCAATTAATAATTTCAGACATTCTATAATGTCTGAAATTGTATAATGATCGATTCTATAAAGGAAACAGAATAAAGTGACAATGACTCAGTGGTAGAAACACTGGGGCTGAGATGTGAATGCTCAGTCAGCCGTGCAAACTACTGAAACGGGTTCCACACACAGGGACCACTAAGCACCAAGGCCCTGGAGGGAGGTGTGCCTTAGCAGACAGAAGGCAGGCAACTCTGCCTAGAATCCTCTGTGCAAAAAGGACAGAGGGTGCATTATGGAGGGCCAGGTTAAGTCATAGCAGAAAGTTTAGATTCTAGCCTAGATGCAATAAGAAGCTATTTTAAGTTTTTAAGAAAAAGAGGGCCACAGGAAAATTTATATTAAAAAAAATTTTTAGGGGTTATAAAAAGAAAAGATTCCTTCAGAAGAAGGGAGTTGGCAATGGCAAAAGTGAAAGGGTAAAGACTAGTTTTTATCACAGAAATCCAGGGAGGAGATTAAGGAGATTAAACAGGAGTGGCCAACAATGAAAACAGACATAGACAGCTTCCAGATATGTGCTGAGGATAGATCAGATCAACTGAGTGCTGATTTCTTTGTTGAACAGCTATTTAATCTATACAGTAACATTATCAGGCACATTTCTAGGTGCTGGGTATACGGAACTGAATAGGAAGGAAAGGGTGCCTGATCTCAAGGAGTTTATATATTAGGAGCTTATATATTACATATTCCAATGGGAGAAGCAGAAATTTAATAAACAAAAATATCCTATAATGTCAGGTAAGAAGTATTATGATGAAAAACTAAAGGAAAAGGAGAGACAAAGGATAAGATAAGTCAGGGAAAGACTTTGCAGAGGAAGTGACATTTAAGCAGATACCTAAAGTGAAGCACAAGCCACACAAATATTTGGAAGTAAAGTACTATAGGTACAGGGAACTGCAAGTGAAAAGACCCTAAGGAGGGAATGTGCTTATCTTCTTGTGAGAAGAGCAAAGCCAATGTGGCTAGAGCAGAATGAACAAGGAGTGGAGTGGCACATGAAGCCAGAATAGTGGCCAGGAGACAGATCACATAAAGCTGTAGAGCTTATACACCACGACAGATCACACAGAGCCGTATAGCTTATACACCGAGTTTTGAATTTTATTTTAAGTGTGATAAAAAGCCATGTGAATTGAGAACAGGACAAGGGATATCTGATTGACATTTTAAAAGGATCATTCTGCTTTTCTGGAATATAAACTGCTGAGGGATAAGTAATATAAACAGAGAGATGACAGTGCCTTCAACTGGAGTGGTACTAGCAGAGGTGGGAAGTGCGACATATTTTGAATGTATTTGTTAAATTGAATAGATTCTGCTGGACTGAATGTAGAAAATGGGGGGAAAAAATGAAGGATGACCTAGGGTTTTGGTTTAAGGAACTGAGGAGCTGAAGTAACATTTCTGAGAAGGAGAAAACTAGGAGAGGAACAGGTTGGAGAACAGGAATCAAAAACTGTTTTTGGTCACGAGATGCCTACTAGACATTCAAGTGGAAATGTAAAGTAAGTAAAAGCCTAGAGCTCACAGAAGAGGTTCAAGTCAGTGACTTGAACTGTTTTTGAAAGATACTGACTCAGATAATTCTCAAGAACAAAATTTCTCCCATATTTGAGAATTTATACTGACTCAATTCTTAGGCATACCCTAAATAGTTCAAATAAATAAAACAGGTTCAAATTTATTCTTCCTAAGGGTATACTCCAGTAACACAATTTGCCAGTATACATTAATACGTGATAAACTCTAATCGTAACATTCTATATGTTCTTTGCTTCTGATTAAAATAACTGATTAAGTTTATAATGTTTTACAATTTTAAAAATGTTTATTCATCCAAGCTGGAGTGCAGTGGTGCAATCATAGCTCACTACAGCCTCAAATTTCTAGGCTCATGTGATCCTCCTTTCTCAGCCTCCTAAGTAGCTGGGACTACAGGCAGGGTCCAAGGCTTCAACCTAATATACCCCAAAGTTAATACAGATTTTATTAGAAAAACAAAGTTTTTGTAAGTCTAATAGGTAAAGGAACAAAGAATCAGATCTATTTTTCTTACAGCTTCCTTACTCTTCCCTTCCCTCTTTTATTCTTTATCACCTAAAAGCTTGGTCACTAGTAAGTTCAAAAGGTTAGCTAAAATATGGCTATGAAAGTAGAAAATACAGAAAAATATTTAAGATGTTCAACAGTAATTTTTAGAGTAAGGTTAGTTAAACACTAGAGTTTATGCTCAACTTCTCCTTGAAAGACCGAGTATTTATTTTACTAACTACACTGGAAATAATGCCTACTTGCAATTTCAATTAATCATTATAATTCAAAAACAGGTTTATATAACTGGCCAGGCCCTTTTGAAAATATAAGTATAAATCTTGGGGATATGTTTTGAAGCTGGCTTTGCTTCACAGACTGATAAATCTGTCCAAAAGTCACAAGAATTATGTCTTTATTGGTTCATCTTATAATTAAATCAACATGGAAGAAATATGTACTTTTTGGATTAAACAAAATGTTTTGATAAAAATGGGATATGTGTGTACAAAAGCTGGAAAACTCATGTCCCCTGAAACTTGGTTTCCACAAGATGAGTTTCAAATTCGGATACTAAACACACCTGAATAATCAAATGAATTCTATTCATCCTTTCCCCAAAGTTGTGCTTACAATTAAGATATAGGTATTATTTGTATGCAGAACAAACAAAATAAATTGGAAGATGTTTGGCTAAAGAGGGAAGTGAACACTCAGGAACTACTGTTTGCAGTTTGCAGAATAGGACAATCTTCTCTAGGAAGAATAATGTCAACATAGCAGCACTATATTCACCAGGATTCCCCAGAGCCAATGGTCCGATCATGTGGCAGGAGGCCAAACCTTCTGGCTGCTCACAATATCAATCAGCTTCCCTTTAATCTTCAGGAAGTGTCTCTTGAACTCCAATCCATCACCCTATATTAGAAATAATATTAAAAAATAATGTCAAAACAAAAACAAAAACAAGATTATGCCCTAAAATCAATCTCTTTTTAGTGGCAACAAGAGACAAACATCCTTAGATATGTCTAGCTACAATTTTCTTTTAGGCCTGTTTATGAAGATCAAATATCCTGGCAGAGAAAATTGTTACACATATAATTCTGATGTGGTTTCATGCCCATCACTGTTCCTACTGCACTGAGCTCAGAGAGCAGATAAAGGTGGCATCCTATCTGTTTCAGGTGTTGGTATATCTGGACCTAAGTCATTACAATCCATAGGCAGTGAGGGTTTGGAAACTAAAGATAAGCTGTACAACTAAACTGAAGTCTTGTCGTCATAACACTATTGAACAAAACCAGCAGATTTAGTTATGAGAAGAATTTCATTATACTATGATCTTAATTTAATTCCATAGCAAGCATCTGAAAAACAGTATTGCAGCAAATCTCTAATACAAAGAGTACTGCAGCAAATGCTCCAATATAGCAGCTACTCCTCCAACCCTCTTTAGAGCCACACACAATCTCTCAGAAAATAGAGAAAAATGTTATTTTGGTTTTATATATCAAGGGCTGTAAAACCATAATCTTAGAATCAATAATTTCTAAAGAAATCATCAGAAATATGAACAAAAATCTATACATAAAATATCAATCACAGAATTACTGTTAAAGGTTCATTAAATTATAATGAAATATTTGTCACAAATCATAATTTTTATTAAAAGACAAATTAAGAAAAATATTAAAATACTTCAAAATATTAATGGTGATCCCTGAAAATTTAGAATTATTTTTATTTTCTCATTTTTTGCTTGTCTACATTTTTCACAAAAGCAGAAACTTTTTTTGAGAGAGAGTCTCTCACATTGTTGCCCAGGCTGGAGTGCAATGGCACCATCTCGGCTCACTGCAACCTCCGCCTCCTGGGTTCAAGTGATTCTCCTGCCTCAGCCTTCTGAGTAGCTGGGATTACAGGAGCCCGCCACCATGCCCAGCTAATTTTTTGGTTTTTATTGTAAAGATGGGGTTTCACTATGTTGGGCAGGCTGGTCTCAAACTCCTGACTTCGAGATCTGCCCGCCTCGGACTCCCAAAGTGCTGGGATTACAGGCGTGAGCCACCGCACCCAACAAAAACTTTTATAATAAGGAAAACGTCATTTGAAAAAAACAATGTTTGGGAAAAACAGATAACAAAAACACATGCTATAATATTAAACGAAAAAAGCAAGTAACCTTCTATTTACAAATGTCACATATATACAAACATAATGCCATTAAAAAAATTCACATAGAAATATTTCTACAGAAAAAATACAATAAAACATAAAAATACCTTAGAAAGCCGGAAGTCAACCAATATTTTATCATCCATTTCTAACAAATTCACTTTGAAAATGAGTTTATTATTTCTCCTATCAGTTGTTGATACAGTAACCTAAGGCAACAAAAATAAGGTTAAGCCACATGGGTGAGTAGATAATAAACTGGTAAACCCATCATGAAGAACAGAATGGAAGTTCCTCAAAAAACTACAAATAAAACTACCTATATGTTCCAGCAATCCCACTAATGAGATGTCATCCAAAGGAAAGGAAATTATATTGAAGAGACATTTGCATCCCTACAGCATTATTCACAATAGCCAAGATATGGAATCAACCTAGGTATCCAACAAGAGATGAGAGTAGGCCAGGCACTGTGGTTCATACCTATAATCCAGCACTTTGGGAAGCCAAAGCAGGAGGATCGCTTGAGCCCAGGAGTTCAAAACCAAGCTGGGCAACATATCCATACCTCATCTCTACTAAAATTCCCAAAAAATTAGCAGGCATGGTGGTGCATGCCTGTAGGACCAGCTACTCAGCAGGGCTGAGGCAGAAGGGTCACTTGAGCTGAGGAGGTTGAAGCTGCAGTGAGCTATGATTGCGCCACTGTGCTCCAGCATGGGTGACAGAGCGAGACCCTGTCTCAAAAAAACAAAACAAAAAGCCAAGCAAACAAATGAGGATAATATGATAAATATATACACAATGAAATACTACTCAGCCATACAAAGGAATGAAATCCTGTCATTTGCAGCAACATGGGTGGAACTGGAGGACATGATGTTAAGTGAAATAAGCCAGGAACAGAAAATTAAACATCGCATGTTTTCACTCATATGTGGAAACAAAAAAACAGTTAATTTCATAGAAGTAGAAAGCCAAACAGAGGATACTAGAGTCTAGGAAGGGGAGAGGGGAGGGAAAGATAGAGATTCATGAAATAATACAAAATTACGGCTAGATAGGAGTAAGTTCTAGACCACTGTAGGATAACTATCCTTAACAATAATAGAGTTTCAAACAGCTAGAAGGATACTGAACATTCCCATCACAAAGAAATGACCAATGTTTGAGATTATTAACACGCTAGTTATCCTGATCTGATCACTATACATTATATGAATCAAAACATCACTATATACCTCATGAATATGTACAATTGTATCAATTAAAACTTGCTGGCTACCTCCATAACAGGAGTAATATTAAGTATGCTGATAATCTCATTCATTCCAGGGCCTCTCTTCTCCCAGTGGGTATGTATGTCCCCAACCCAATCCATCAACGGGGGTGCAGCTCCTAGGGACTGAGTGTATATGAACTCATAGCAACAAAACTTACTGTATTGTACCAAAATACCACTGAAAGAAGAAACAATCAAAGATGAAAATATAATGGGAGGAAAAACAAGATTATTAAAATGTAAGAAAAATGCCTGACTTGTGGCTGAAAAGCTAGAGCGGCAATTAGAAGACAGCAAAGGTCTTGAGAGGCCTTGCAACTTCCACTTTCAGTCTTTTAGAACGTTCCTGTGCCATGTAAAGACGCTCAGCCTAGCTGAGTGATGCGGAAAGAAAGGCTCAGCTAACAGCCAGTGCCAAGACTCCAAACACGGGCGTAAGGATGTTTTAGACCACCAGCCACAGGAAAGACATCAAATGACTACAGCTGGATGAATAAGCCCAAGCAAGATGAGCAGATCTGCCTGAAAAACACAGCCCAAATTACAAAAGTATTTGTAATAATTCTTACTTCAAGAAACTATGAAAACACATAACTATACCATGACTGTACAGCACTGAAATAACATACTATGTTCTGGGAAAATTAACACAAGATATTCAACTCAACACATCTGAATTAAGCTCTTAAACTTCAAAGACAAAAAAAAAAAAATACTTCAAAGAACTGAGAGTGAGTGAATCAACGAGTGATGTCAGTGAAAATGGCAGAGAAAAGAACTCCAGAAGTCCATTACTCCACAAAAGCAATTTTAAAAACCTGCCAAAACCTGTCAGAATCAACTTTTTCAGAACATTGTAAACTAACTAAAAGCTTGCAGCAACTTACTCAAAACAAGTGAAACTCAGTAAGAACAGTGAGCTTTCTGGTATTGTAACTCACCTTGTTCCCATCCCCTGCTCCTCACTCAGTAGCAGCCTTGAAAATAACGGTCCATATTTCAGGTATAGGTCCAGGTGGGAGCAGAATAAACCTCATTTACAAACTATCTTAAACCGATCTGACCCTCTAAAATGACCTGATCAAAAGGCTTGTGCTGGCCAGGTGCAGTGGCTCATGCCTATAATCTCAACACTTGGGGAGGCCGAGGCAGGTGGATCACCTGAGGTCAGGAGTTCGAGAACAGCCTGACCAACATGGTGAAACCCTGTCTCTACTAAAAATACAAAATTAGCAGGGTGTGGTGGCAGGTGCCTTTAATCCCAGCTACTTGGGAGGCTGAGGCAGGAGAATCGCTTAAACCTGCCTGGGAGGCAGAGGTTGCAGTGAGCTGAGATCGCACCATTGCACTCCAGACTGGGAAACAGAGCGAGACTCCATCTCAAGAAAAAAAGGCTTGTCTTTATTTCGCCTTTGTAACTGTAACTCACCTTGCGCTAAAGCTGCTCCTGGGTAGCATTTGTGGAAAACACTTACAGGAAAATGCTTTAGTCTCTGTTGCCTGAAGCAATGATAGCAACTGGGGCAAACAGACTACCCAAGAAGTTTGGAAGAAGAGGTTAGGGAGTGAGATGTTTCTGAGCAATAGGACTCTGAAAAGGTCCAACATGTTCCTGGGAATGTAAAAAGACACACCCATGACCAGGGCAGTACACGTGCTTAGGAAAGAGCTGAGAAGGCCCCGAAGCTCTACATGTGCCCTGACTTTGCATTTTGCACAGGCAGATAGTGAAGGCTGAAGCAACGCTGTAAACTTCTCGGTTGAGTGTTGCAGGTGTGCCCCAACACAAACACAGAACCCCTCTGCAGATTTTTTGTTTTTGGTACACAGAATTTAAGGAAATCTCTGTCCAATCATTAGCTGATCACTACAACTAATGGAACAGAAACTGCACAGTCATGCATGACAAACAATACCAACTTTAAAAAATTGCATCAGAAAAATCACTAGGGCTGGGTGCGGTGGCTCCCACCTGTAATCCCAGCACTTTGGAGGCTGAGGCGGGTGGCACCTGAGGTCAGGAGTTCGAGACCAGCCTGGCCAACATGATGAAACCCCGCCTCTAATAAAAACACAAACAATTAGCCGGCCATGGTGGTAGGCGCCTGTAATCCCAGCTACTCGGAAGGCTGAGGCAGGAGACTCGCTTGAACCCACAAGGTGGAGGTTGCAGTAGCCAAGATCACACCATTGCACTCCAGCCTGGACAACAAGAGTGAAGCTCCATCTCCAAAAAAAAAGAAAAAGAAAAAGAAAAAAATAACTAAAAAGAACAACTACATCAAGCAGTAACAAACACTGGCAAGAGGGGAAACTCTGACTTCTGGAGTTGCCACATATTGCCACAATATGTACAGTTTTCAACAAAAAATTACAAAGCATGTAAGGAAACAAAGTATGGCCCACATAAAGGAAAAACAGCAACCAAAACTGTCCCTGAGGAACATAAAGAAAGAATAAAGAAAAGTGAACAGAGTCTAAGAACTGTGGTATGTCAAGTATCCCAACAATACACATAATGAGTCCAAGAGGGAGAGGAGAGTTAGGTACAAAAAAAAATCTGAAGAAATAATGGCCAAAAACTTCCCAAGTGTGATTAAAAACATTAATTTACATATCCGAGAAGCTCAGTGAACTCCAAATAGAATGAACAAAGAAATTCACACCAAGATACATCATAGTCAAACTGTGGTCAACCGAGAAACATAAAAGCAGCAAGAGAGCAGCAATGTCTCACGTAAAAGGGATCCTCAGTAAGATTAACAGCTGATTTCTCATCAGAAACCACAAAGGCTAGAAGGCAGTAGTGGCATAATCAAAGTGCTAAAAGACAAAAGTTATTAAGAATTCTATATCCAGCAAAACTACCTGTCCAAAAAGTGGAAGATAAATTAAGGCACTTTAAACTGATAGGAATAGATACTACATTTGATCTTAGCCAAAAGGCTGAGAAGCGATTTTTTTTTTGAGACAGTCTTGCTCTGTCACCCAGGCTGGATAGCAGTTTGTGCAATCAGATCACGTTCACTGCAGCCTCAATCTCCCATGGCTCAGGCTATCCTTCCACCTAAAGCCTCCCCAGTAGCAGGGGTTACAGGCGCACACCACAACGCCCTGCTAATTTTTAAAATATTTTCAGTAGACATGGGGTTTCACCATGTTGGTCAGGCTGGTCTCAAACTCCCGGCCTCAAGTGATCTGCCCGCCTCAGCCTCCTAAAGTGCTGTAATTATAGGTGTGAGCCATGACACCTGGCTAAGGTACTTTAGATTGAAAGACACAAATAGGCTAAAAGGAAAAGGAAAAAAAAATAGAGCATGGAAACAATAACCAAAAGAGAGCTGGTAGCTCGGTATGGTGGTATATGCCTGCAGTCCCACCTACTTGCGAGCCCAAGGCAGGAGGGTCACTTGAGCCCAGGAGTTTGAGGCTGCATTGCACTATGATCGTACTGCAAGTAGCCACTACACTCTAGCCTAGGCAACATAGTGAGACTCCATCTAAAAAAAGGAAAATACACAAGATAGCTAGTGAGCTGATATGGATATACTAACATTAGACAAAATAAACAGACTGATGAAAACTGTCAATTTAGCTGGGCATGGTGGTGCACACCTATAGTATCCACTACTCAGGAGGATCACTTGAGCCCAGAAGGTCAAATCCAGCCTTGTCAACACAGAGAGACTGCATCTCCACAAAAACGTTTTTTAAAAGTTAGCTGGTTATGGTAGTGCACACCTGTAATTCCAGCTACTTAAGAGGCTGAGGTGAGAGGATCACCTGGGCACAACAGGTCAAGGTATTAATATATTGTATTAATAAAGGGGAAAAAAATCCACATGATTATCTCAACAGATGGAGAAAACATTTGACAAAATCCAATACTCTTTCATCATAAAAACAAAAACCCCACAGCTAACATCATACTTAATGCTGAAAGACTCAAAACTTACTCCTAAGATCAAGAACAAGACAAAGATGTCCACTCTATTTCTGTTCAATACAATGTTGGGAGTCCTAGCCAAGAAAACTAAACAAAAAGAACTAAAACGCATCTAGGTTTTAAAAAAAAAAAAGTAAAACAATTTCCTGTATCTCTACTGATAAACAATGTAATTTTTTTTTTTGAGATGGAGTCTCACATTATCGTCCCGGCTGGAGTGCAGTGGTACGATCTCGGCTCACTACAACCTCTGCCTCCCAGGTTCAAGCGATTCTCCTGCCTCAGCCTCCCGAGTAGCTGGGATTACCAGCACCTGCCACCATGCCCAGCTAATTTTTTGTATTTTTAGTAGAGATGGGCTTTCACTGTGTTGGCCAGGCTGGTCTCAAATGCTTGACCTCGTGATCCACCTGCATTGGCCTCTCAAAGTGCTGGGAATACAGGCGTGAGCCATCACGCCCGGCCAAATAATGTAATCTTAATATATAAAAAAACCTAAAGAATTGGTCAAAAAAACTACTGGAGTTAATGAATTCAGCAAATTTTCAGGATACAAGATCAATACACAAAATTCATTTGCATATATACTATCAACGAACAATTTGAAAATAAAATTTAAAAATTCCATTTACATCAGCATCAGGATTTAAATAAATAAATAAATAAACAGGATTACATTTAACCTAGGAAGTGCGAGACTTGAACATTGAAAACTACTAAATATTCTTGAAAGAAATTAAAGACCATAAAAAAAAGGGAAAAAAGGCCCCATGTTATTGGATTGCAAGAGTTACTATTACAGGTTTAGCATCCTTAATCTAAAATCTGAAATTCAAAATGTTCCAAACTCCAAAACTTTTCGGGTGCTGGCATGATACCACAAATTGAAAATTTCATACCTGATAAGTTTGCTTTCTGATAGTTCAATGTACAAACTTTGTTTCATGCACAAAATTATTTAAAACATTGTATAAAATTACCTTCAGGTTATCTGTATAAGGTATATATGAACCACAAATAAAATTATTCATGTTTCAACTTGAGTCCCATCTGTAAGTTATCTCAATATGTATATGCAAATATTCCAAAATCCAAACAAATGTAAAATCCACAAAACTTTTGGTCCCAAGCACCTCGAATAAGGAATATTCAATCTGTACTAAAATGGAAATACTCCCCGAGTTAATCTACAGATTCAATGTAATCTCTTTTAAAATTCCAATTTTTTTTCTTGTAGAAATAAGACAATCCTAAAAGACAGAAAAACAAGGGGCCACAAATAACCAAAATACCTTGAAAAAAAGAACAAACTTGGACAACTCATACTTTCTAATGTCAAAACTCACTACAAAGCTACAGTAATCAAAATAGTGTGGTAGTGGCATAGCATAGACATATAGATCCATGAAATAAAGAATTGAGTCCATGGGGGAAGAAAAAGAAAAGAAAAAAAGAAGAATTGAGAGTCCAGAAATAAACCCATACATCTATGACCGATTCATTTTCAGCAAAGGTGCCAAGACCATCTAATAGGAAAAGATGTCTTCAACAAATGGTGCCGGAAAAACTAAATATTCACATACAAACATTTGCATTTGGACCCTACCTCATACTATATACAAATATTAACTCAAAATGGACAAAGACCTAAATGTAAGAGCTAAACTTTAAGACTGTAGTCCCAGCTACTTAGGAAGCTGGGACTCCTAAAAGAAAGCATAAAGTATAAATCTTTACAATTTTATATTAGGCAACAGTTTCTTAAATTTGGCACTAAAAGCATAGGCAACAAATGAGAAATTATAGATCCACTGGAATTCATCAAAATCTAAAACTTGTGTACATCAAACGACACTAACAAGAAAACGAAAAGAATGGAAGAATTTTTCCCACAGAATGGGGTATTTGCAAATCAGGTATCCGACAAGGTTCTAGTGTCCAGAATGTACAAAGAACTCTAACAACTCAACAATAAAAACAATCCAGTTAAAATATGGACAAAAGATCCAGATACTGTTATAAAGAAATGGCCAATAAGCATGTAAGAATATGCCCAAGATCATTAGTCTTTAGAGAAAGGAAAATCAAAAGCAAAATGAGATAACATTTCATACACACTAGGATAGCTACAGCAAAAAGGGGAGGCAATAAGTGTTGGCAAGGATGTAGAGAAACTGGAACCCTCTTACATTACTGATGGAGATGTAAAATGGTACAGATGCTTTGGAAAAATCATTTCGCAGTTTCTCAAAAAGTTAAATGAAGAGTTACCATATGCTCCAGCAATTCTACTCCTCCATATATATCTAAGAAATTAAAAACATATGGTCACACAAAAACTGGTACAAGATTGTTCATAGCAGTATTATTCATAAAGACCAAAAAGTAGAAACAACCCAAATGTCCATCAATGGATGAATGGATAAACAAAATGCAGTACATACACACAATGGAATATTATTCAGTCATAAAAAGGAATAGAGTACTGATAAATGCTATGAACTTTGAAAACATTATGCTAAATGAATGCAGACAGACCCAAAGGACTACATGTTATATGATTCCATTTGTATAGAATGTCCAAAGAGGCATTCCCTGAAGACAGAAAGTAGATTCGAAGTTGCCCGGGAATGGAGGAAGAAAGGAATAAGGAGTGACTGCTAGGTGGTACAGAGGTTTGGGGTTTTTTTTCCCCTGTGGTGATGCAATGTTCTGGAATTAGGGGCGATGGTTGCACAACTTTGTGAATATGCTAAAAAGCACTGCATTTTACATTTTAAAATGGTTAAAGTGATGATTCTTATGTTAAGAAAATTTTATCTCTGAGTCTACCTGAAAAACAGTGAATCACTCATGTGAGTAAGAAGACTATCAGGCTGACCTCAGATTTCTACACAGTAACAGTTCCCCCTAACTTTTAATTTTCAAAACTCAAATCTACAGAAAAACTGAAAGAAGAATACAATAAATAACCATATACTCTTCATTGGCCTTATCTACTAGATATGTGGGTGTTTATTTGCCTTTATGTAATTGTTTGCCCTTTATTTTTTTAAATTTTAAGCTGAAAGAAGATATCACTTCACTTCAACTTTGCTTCCACATGTTTCTCCTTGGAACAAGGGCATTCTCCTACAAACCACAGTATTATCACACCTGAGAAATCTGATGCTGATACAAAAACATTACCTAATATACAGTCCATATTCAAATTTCCCCAATTGTTCCAATAATGTCCGTTGTAGTTTTTTTTTTCTTTTTCCCCAAATACATGATCTAGTGAAAGACCATGCACTGCACTTAGCTATCAGGCCTCTTTAGTCTCCTTCAATATAAAACAGCTCCCCTATTTGTTTTTCATTGACATTAACATTTTTTTGAAAAGCCTTAAAGACAGTTTAGAATACCAATGTTATAACTATGCTCTAACAATATAAACAATAAAAATTGACGGGCGCAATCAAGGGAGATGCAAGAAAGTGTGGGATTGCTAATGTATTCGTCTTTCATGGTAGGCAGTCAACCATTATTGTCTACAGTTTAAGTATATACAGTTTTTAAGAAAATAATAATTCCAGCTCCCTAACATTTTTAATAACAATTAAAAGGTCTTTTAAGAAATATTATTTTAGGCCAGGCACAGTGGCTAAAAATAAAAAAATAATAATAATAAACAAAACTTAAAAAAAATATTATTTCTTAAGGTAGAGAACATTTAGTTTCTTTTTCAAATTAACTAATTACTTAGTATTTTTATGTTTGTTTGGTTTTTTTGAGACAGAGTCTCACTCTGTCACCCCGGCGGGAGCACACTGGCAGGATCTCGGCTCACTGCAACTTCCATCTTCCAGGTTCAAGCAATTCACCTGCCTCAGTCTCCCGAGAAGCTGGGATTACAGGCATGTACCACTATGCTGGCTAATTTTTGTATTTTTAGTAGAGACAGGGTTTCACCATGTTGGCCAGGCTGGTCTCGAACTCCTGACCTCAGGTGATCTGCCTACCCCGGCCTCCCAAAGAGCTAGGATTACAGGTGTGAGCCACCGCTTGTATTTAAAAAATATACTAATGATAGCTTTTACTCAAATATTTCAATTTTTCTTCAGGAAAACGTATAATGAAAATCAATGAAACACACCTGATTCATACAACTCTTCTTCCATTGATAGCCCAACTTCTCACAAGTCTCTTTCAGGCATTGATAAGATTTGTCTGCATCCAATTTGGTAAAGAATCGTGTCATTCTTTTGACCAACCGCTGCCAGGGGTTCTATATGTCAAACAGAAGACAACTGAATAAATCCATTATGACTAAAGACAGTAATATCATAGCTATTTAGTCTGACTTAAAATTCTTTTGCATGAAGGCCTCCCTCTTCTCTTTCTTCCTTGACAAAAAAATACATGTGATTTAAAAGTTATATATCTAAGATTTACACATAAAAAAGGACTTTAAGACAATAAAAAGTAAAGAGCTGCCATTATTTATTAAAAAAATGAAATTCCCTCACCTGTGAGGATCCTGGGGTTCCAAGTAACTGACTATTCAGAAGCATATGATCAGGACATGTGGGCTGGGAAAAGCTGATCCCTTGTACCAATTTATCAATGTATGAGGGACTGGTATCCCATAAGGAAAGACCTGTGCGTGGTTCTGGCTGAGAACTGGAGTACTTCACATTTTCTTCACTAAGGCATTAAGACAGAAGGAAACATACATAAAATAAAATCTATCAGGCCTTTCTTATATCACACAAAAGTTCTCATGCTTACAGTATTACGTTCATTAATGTCGAATATTATGAAAAAACACATACATGTATTATTCTTCATGGGGGATACTACAATCAAAAACTACTTAATCTTTATCAGTCTTACCTAGAAGCACTGTTTACTGGAGAGAAGTCCAAATTGGATTGAATGTGCTTAGAGAACCCACTGGGAGACTCTGACACACCACCTGAAGTGACTCGGGGCCTTTTTGCCCCTAAAAAAGAAAACAAATACAAATGCTTTCAAGTCTTCTACGCAAATATGTTTTTTAATGAACTCAACTGGCAACCTGAAGAAGTAAAACTATGTCTAAATCTATTTATTTAACACAAAATTTTTATAAGATATAAAACAAAGCCTTCCTATATGATTTTATTAAAAATGTGGCCAAGTTATAAAATTACTAAGACTCATTTGTCCAATTAGGTATTTACAGTACCTAAGTATGACCTGTAGGCATGTTCAAAGTGTGGAGTATGCGCAGACCACAATCTTTTTTTTTTTTTTTTTTGAGATAGAGTCTCGCTCTGTTGCCCAGGCTGGAGTGCAATGGCGCGATCTTGGCTCACTGCAAGCTCCATCTCCCAGGTTCACACCATTCTCCTGCCTCAGCCTCCTGAGTAGCAGGGACTACAGGCACCCGCCACCACACCCAGCTTTTTTTTTTTTTTTTTTTTTTTTTGTATTTTTAGGAGAGACGGGGTTTCACTGTGTTAGCCAGGATGGTCTTGATCTCCTCACCTTGCGATCCACCCGCCTCAGCCTCCCAAAGTACTGGGATTACAGGTGTGAGCCACCGTGCCTGGCCCAGGTCACAATCTTAATGGCATCTTTTGTGGGTAACAGAACAATATCCTATGAAGATGACAGACCTGGCTAAAGGACTAGAACTTTTTAAAATAAAAAATAATTTATGGTAATAGCAACAAACATTATGAATCTGTTCTAGCCAAAATTCTTTGATTCCCTGGAAAAGCTTTACAAAGAATATTATATGGAAAATGACACCACTGTAAATTTATGGTTACAACCCCTAGCCAAACCTCAATATTGCCAGATAATTCTGTTTCTCTAGTTTCTTTTCCTTTTCTCCACAAGGATCATTTCAAAACTACACTTTTCTGTAATTCCCAAGACTACCATCCAGTACCTATACTACCACCTTCCATTTCAGAGAGAAAGCCATTAGACAGAAACTACATGAACTTATCCCTATCAAATCTAAGTTACTTGTATTACTACACAACGTTTCATCCCTTCCATTCTCCTATCGAATGTTCATCTCTCTATTGTGCTTTGGAGTCTATACCCTTCTACCTCCTCAGGGATCTTGATCCTGTTACTTATTCCCTTTCTCTTAGACTGTCAGCCTCTTCCTCTCTACAGGATCTATACCCAAACCACTTAAACAGGCTTAAGTTTCTTTTTTTTTAAAACATGCTTAAGGTTTTTTTTTTAAACCTGCTTTTTATTTATTAATCCATCCATTCAAATATTTTATTAGGTCTACTCTGTGCCAGGCATTATTCTAGGTATTAGGTATTTAGCAGTGAGCAAAATAGAAAAAAATCCTTGATCTCTTAAATCCTACATTCTACTGAGGAGAGACAAAATAACGTAAAATAAATTCAAATAAAGTTAAAAATAAGCTAAATGATGGTAAGTACAATGGAGGAAAATAAAATGAAGAAATGTGTTGGATTGCATATGTCCACAAGATAGTGAAAATTTTAAAAATTTAAGAAATGTGTTAGAGGGAAGGGGATATCATTTTAAATAGCATGGCCAGGAAAGGCTTATTGGAAAGATGACATTGAAGTCAATATCCAAAGAAAGTGAGAGAATAAGACATGCAAATAAGTCCCGTTGGAAAAAGCATTTTTAGGCATAGGGAAGAGTCGTAACAAAAACAGTGAGGTAGAAGTATGCCTGGAGCACTTGGAGAACAATGAGAAGACTGATATAGGTATGACCAAGGGGGAGCAAAGCAGAATTGAGGTCAGAGAAGTAATGTAAGGGGCAAAACTGTGTAAGAACTCACAGGTCATCAACTGACTTTAGCTTACACTCTGGGTGAGAACTAAAGCACTGGAGGTTTTGGGTAGAACGGTGACATATTCTAATTTATTTTTAAATCAGAACACTCTGGAAAGATATCATAGTAGTTTGGAATGATAGGGTTGCTGTGGAGGTGAAAAAAGGTAATCAAATTCTAGAATTTTAGAGGTTAACAGAATTACCTGGTGGACTGGATGTGAAGTAAAAGAGAATGAGAAAAACGAAGGATGATTCCAAAGTTTCTGATCTGCATAACAAGAACAATGCAGTTGCCATTAACCAACAAGGGAAAGACTTTGAAGAGGAATGGATTTGAAAAGAAAAGAACAGTAACTCAGTTTGGAATTCATCAAGTTTGAGATGCCTCTTAACGTTCAAGTGAAAGTTCAGAAGGCAGTTAAGACATGCAAGTTTGGCCGGCGCGGTGGCTCAAGCCTGTAATCTCAGCACTTTGGGAGGCCGAGACGAGTGGATCACGAGGTCAGGAGATCGAGACCATCCTGGCTAACACGGTGAAACCCCGTCTCTACCAAAAAAATACAAAAAACTAGCCGGGCGTGGTGGCAGGCGCCTGTAGTAGAGTGAGACTCTGTCTCAAAAAAAAAAAAGACATGTAAGTTTGGAATTTAGAGGAAAGGTCTAGGTTGATATAAATGTGACGACTATCAACATACAGTTTTATTTAGCGCCATGAAACCAAGTAATATTACTAATGGAGTGAGTGTGGAGAAGAAAACAAAGGAGATCCATAGATTCAGCCCTAGAGAACTCCAATAGTAGGAGGCTGAGTAGATGAAAGAAAACCATCAAAAGAGACTGAAAAGGAGTGACCAGTGAGAAGGACGAAAATCAGAAGAGTGTAATGCCTGGAAGCCAAACGAAGAAAGTACTTAAAGGAGGAGGGCATGATCAACTGTATAAAATACTGATGAGATAAAACAAGAGGTCTGAGAACTGACTACAGTAGTCCCCACTTACCCACAGAGGGATATGTTCAACTGGATGCCTGAAAGTACAAATGGTACCAAACCCTATATATGTTCTTTCAATCTAATAACCAAAACAACTACAAGCAGGTAGCACATGGAACGTAAATATACTGGAAAAAGTGAAGATTTTTGGGTATTTTTCTCCTGCTGCAAACCATTGTGCAGGTACAAGTGTGGAGTACGTAGAAAACTACTAGATTAAACCCAGAAACTACTTACTGGGTTTTACCCACTAAATATGATGAAGAGAGAAAGGGACAAGGAAATTGAAGATGATGAATGCAAAGCAGTCATTTATAATGACTAACCTAAAGATTTAAGATAAGTAAAGATGAAATCAAGGACCTAGAGAGGGAGCAGGTAAGAGACTGAAGAGATAGAATTAATTAATTGCAAGTCCAGATAGAGTCAAAGGACTGTTTAAGTCAGAATATTAAGGAAGTCAGAAAAATTATACTGGTGATCAGTGCAGAGCTTTCAAAGACAACATCACTACAGGAGAGAAGGTCAAGTAACAGTGAAGTCAGGATATTAGGAGGATCATCCAAATAAACATTTAAATCACCAAGAATCATGATGAAAATTACATCAAGGGTCATTATGGAGACTATGATAGTATGGCAGAAATTTTAATTGGGGGTTCAAAAGTTAGAGGGGAGAGACATACAGGAAGATGGGAGAAAGTAACAATGAAAAATAAGGAGGACACCTGTGCCATATTCAGATCAAAGGACATGAGGGTATGGGAAAGAAAATACCTACCACTTCAGAGGAAGCAGCGTCCTCAGGGTAGAATTGGGCTTTAAGTTAGAACAACGAGAAAGAAACAGGCAGAGAGGTATTAAAGAGTGAATTTTTAAACATTAACTCTTTTCTGTCCATGAGGACAGAGTTAAACATTAATTCTTCTTTAATAACTCTCTGAATGTTTCTCATTCATAATCTCTAGTCATTGTCCTCTCTCCTCCCATTCACAGCCTAACAGTCCTATCAATACTAGTTCTTAGATTTCTTTGGGATCATCTCATTTCTCCAATACCACTGCCCTAACCTACTCCAAGCCACCATCTTACCACAACTAGACAACTAGCAGAAAAACCTACGGTACCCTGAATCTTCCCCTACTCATAAAAAACAATGGGGGCGGGGGGAAGGTCGTCAGAGAGAGATTTTTAAACCAAAGATATGACTATGTCATATTCTTGCTTAAAATCTCCCAAAGGTCTCCCCAGTGGTCTTAAGTTAAAAGCCCCAAATCCTTAACATGGCTTACAAGGTCTTCTTCCACAAACGGGCCACTAGCGACCTCTCTATCCTCATCTTAAACCTCTCTTCCTCTCCCACTTCCCTGTTCACTCATTTATTCAACAAATATTTAATGAGTGCCTATGGTGTACCATATACTGTGCTAAGCACTGACGATGCAATGATGAACACAGCAGACATGGCTTGTGCCATACTGATCTTTCAAGTTTCTCAAATGCATCAGACTTTCAAAAACCTAAGAGTTTTCAAATACTGCTTCCCCTATTCAGAATCAAATCTGCCACTTACTTTGCCTGGCTAGCTTCCCTTTAATCTTCAAATCTTAGATTTAATGTAATTTCTTCAGGAAGAAAAGTCTTCCCTGTCCCTTAGACTTGGTCAAACACTTAGCTATAGTACCCTGACTTTCCCTTTTATAATTATTAATAAACAAAATTATTATTATTATTTATTTATTTATTTTTTTTGAGACGGAGTCTTGCTCCGTTGCCCAGGCTGGAGTGCAGTGGTCACATCTCAGCTCACTGCAAGCTCCGCCTCCCGGGTCTACGCCATTCTCCTGCCTCAGCCTCCCGAGTAGCTGGGACTACAGGCGCCTGCCACCTCACCCGGCTAGTTTTTTGTATTTTTTTTAGTAGAGACGGGGTTTCAACGTTAGCCAGGTTGGTCTCGATCCCCTGACCTCGTGATCCGCCCGTCTCGGCCTCCCAAAGTGCTGGGATTACAGGCGTGAGCCACTGCGCCCGGCCACAAAATTATTTTTATTTTTTTTCCTACTAGACATTATAATCTCCATGAGGACAGAGATCATAGCCATCATGTGTTGTTGACTTGTGATAATGACTTTGCAATTACCTTTTCTTCCACAGAAAAACAAACATGTAGTTTAAGGATATTACCTTTCTTGAGGGGTTTGTTGTACCATCTATCTTTTTTGATGTCTGGAATGGTAATTCTTGCTGATGGATTCTCAACTAGGATTTTATGCAGCAGAGCTAAAAACAAACATTAAGACAATATTCATGAAAGCGTCATGGAGATTCGAGAAGCCTATGGCTTGCAGTAAGAAACACATTTTCTGTTGGCCTACTTATGTCTAAATATTATTTCTGGGGAAGAGAAAGAATTAAAGCTACTAAATTATTGCTTTAATTTCATGCAGTTTTTCTCTGCTGCTGTCTATATCTTGGAATAGTCTTCCCTTGATCTGATTTTCAATTGTTTGCAACTGAGAACAAGAGCCAGGTGGAAATGTTTCTCCTCATGTGACAAGATTAACAAAAAGATACAGAAACCCCCTTATATCCATTTTCAATACTGAATTTCATCACTTCAATGTCATGTTCTCATGTGACCCCCTTATTCAGTTTCATAATGAACATTTACTTACCAATAACTTTTAAAGAGACAGTAATCTAACCATCCTAAGGTATCTTGATTTTCTTGAGAAAAAATTCATATATCTCCCTACATCAAAATTATTTCCTAATGGACCAAAGATTTAAATGTAAAAATGAAGCCATAAAACCATTAAATGAAAAAATAAGGAACTTTTAAATAGTAGAGGTAGAAGACCTTTCCAAAGACATTATAGTCAGGGACCACAAAGGACAAGATAATAGATTTGAATGTCAATATAGCAAAACAAAATGGAAATAAATGATAAACTGTGAAAAGTATTTGTAATAAGTGCAAAGGTCAATATGTTACAAAAAAAAAACAAAACAAAACAAAACTTCAAACTGGTAAGAAAAATAAGCTTGACAAAAATGAGCAAAATAGACAAAAAACTAACATATAAATAAAGTGTATACAACTTCATTAGTATTAAATTTAAAATAAAAATAAAAGACTATCATTTAAAGGCCTGTTATTTTTTTTTAAATGTAAATTGATGAGACTGTGATGAAATGGTTCGAACTTTCAGGAAGCAATTTGACAAAATAAGCCATAATAATAAAAACTACATCTTTGATGCTGCAATTTTGCTTCTGGGGATTTCAATGAACAATTTAAGGGTATGTGTCATGATTAAGTTACACAGATACTTATATCTCTTTTGTATCCGTGAAAATTTAGAAAAATCTCCAACAAAGTGATTAAAAGAGTATCGTAAGGCATATCTACATGGCAGAATATCATCACAGCCTTTAAAACAACGATGTAGACCTACAATTATAGTCATGGAAGAATGTTCACTGCACATGAAAACCAAAAGCAGTTACAAAATATTAGTGTGATCTCATTTTGTATAAAAACACATATAAATAATATACATATATTCATTTTACATACTCATGGGCCACATGAATGATGTTTCAGTCAAGAATGGACATGTATAACAGACAGTCCCATTAGATTATAACACTGTATTTTTACTATACTTTTCCTATATTTAGATACACAAATACCATTATGTTACAATTCCTTACAGTACTCAATAGAGTAACACACTATAGAGGTTTGCAGCCTGGGACCAATAGGCTATACCATATAGCTAGATTTATAGTAAGCTGTACTATCTAGATTTATGTAAGTATACTCTATGATGTTCACACAATGATGAACTCACCTAATGAAACAACTGTTAGAGTGCATCCCTATAATTAAGCAACAAATGAGTGTGTTTGTAACAAAGTATAGCACATGTGAAAACTTTTTTTTTTTTTTTAACTAAAAAGCCACCTAAGAGCACAGATTCAAGTTGCTCTGAATATACACTCCCCAAAATATTTTTAAAAATCTATGGCAGAGTTCTGGGACAAAAGAGTCATTTTTTCCTTAATTTTTACTTATAGTTACCAATTTATCTACAAGATTCATGAATTATTTCTAAGTTTAAAACAAAAAAATAAGAAAAAATTCAAATAGCACAAGACTTCAAGAAATCAGTACTCTTTCACTCAAGATAATCTGTTACCTAGAGGAGCAGAATCGATTTTTTTCCAAGGGTTGAGGTATGTTTTTTTTTCTTTCCAGTCAGAATATTCCTGACAGCTGTCACTGGGTTGGTCCCATGGCAATTCTAAAAACAAAGCAAGTCCCAGTTTTTTTTAATGTTCAGATTTCAAGGAAAAATAGTAATATAAATCCATGAAAAGTTTTCCTTTGAATTAATTCAATATGTTTTCAAACTAAGAATCCCAACTTGGCCACTGCACTCCAGCCCGGGCGACAGAGCAAGACTCTGTCTCAAAAAAAAAAAAAAAAGAGAGAGAATCCCAACTTAGAAACTTTAGAGGCACTTCAAAGATAGATGAATCAGAGCCAGGCATGGTAGCTCAGGCCTGTAATCACAGTACTTTGGGAGGCTGAGGCAGAAGGATTGCTTGAGCCCAGGAGTTTGAGACCAACCTGGGAAACATAGTGAGACCCCATCTCTACAAAAAATAAATAAAAGTAGCTGGTCGTGGTGGCGAGCATCTGTAGTCCTGGCTCCTGAGGAGGCTAAAGTGAGAGGATCACTTGAATCTGAGAGGTCAAGGCTGCAGTGAGCCAAGATCACACCACTGCACTGCAGCCTGGGTGACAGAGCAAGACTTTGTCTCAAAAAATAAAATAATTTAAAAAAAAAAGATGAATCACTTCTCGCCCTAGTCTTGTTTTCAAAAATGTTTACGTGATTCATAGGAGAGAGAAGTGTTGTGAAATGCCTCATCTTAAAAAATCTTTGGGATTATAAATAAGTTACTATTTGCAATGTAATAAATATTTGTGTCCCCCTCAAAAGTCATGCTGAAATCCTAACTCACAATGCAATGGCATTTGGAGGTGGGGCCTTTGAGAGGTAATTAGGTCCTGGGGATGGCATCCCTCAAAAAATGGTATTAGTGCTCTTATTAAGACCTTATTAGTGTCTAATAAGGGCTCATGTGCCCGGCCAATATTGTGCCTTCATAGGGCACTAATTACGTAATCCCAGCACTTTGGAAGGCTGAGGTAGGCAGATTACTTGAGCCCAGGAGTTCAAGACCAGCCTGGGTACCATGGCAAGACCGTCTCTAAAAAAAAAAACACAAAAAAAATAAGCCAGGCATGGTGGTGCACGTCTGTAGTCCCAGATACTGAGGGGACTGAGGTGGGAGGATCGCTTGAGCCTGGGAGGTCAAGGCTGCAGGGAGCCTTGAATTGTGCCACTGCACTCTAGCCTGGGCAATAGAGTGAGACCCTGTCTCAAAATAAAAAAAACCACCAAAAAAAACAAAACAAAACAAAAAACAGACACAATGTCTCACAACATCTGGTCATTTTAAAAAAACAAAAAAACAAAAAACAGCACTTTGGGAGGCTGAGGTGGGTGGATCACTTGAGGTCAGGAGTTTGAGACCAGCCTGGCCAACACGGTGAAACCCTGTCTCCAGTCAAAATACAAAAATCAGCCGGGGAGGATGATGCGTGCTGGTAACCCCAGCTACTCAGGAGGCTGGGACAGGAGAACTGCTAGGACCTAGGAGGTAGAGGTTGCAGTGAGCTGAGATCGCACCACTGCACTCCAGCCTGGGTGACAGAGCAAGACTCTGGTCTTAACAAAAAAAAACCCACAATAGGGCCTGCTTCTGCTCTCTTGGCTGTCCACTATCAGAGAGCACAGGAAGACAGCCATCTGCAAACCAGGAAGAGGGCCCTCACTGAAACATGACCAGGTTGGCACTCCTAATATCATACTTTCAGCCTCCAGAACTGTGAGAAATAAATTTGTTGTTTATAAGCTATGCAGTCTGTGATACTTTGTTACAGCAACCTAAACTGATCAAGAGACTATTAAAATACTACTATAGAAGCTGAGTGCCATGGCTCATACCTTTAATCCTAACAGTTTGGAGGCCAAGACAGAAGGTTTGCTTGAGACCAGGTGTTTAACACCAGCCTGGACAACACAGCAAGACCCCATCTCTACAATACATTTTTAAAACTTAGCCAGATGTCTTGTGGCAGGCACCACTGGTCCTAGCTACTTGGAAGAGTGAGGCCAGAGGATTGCTTGCGCCTAGAAGTCTGAGGCTGCAGTGAGCTATAATAGCTCACTGTACTCCAGTTTGGACAGCAGAATGAGACCCTGTCTCTTAAAAAGAAAACAAAAACTATTATATAAATATGAATTCCTTGGTTTATTTCATTTATTTCAGTGTAACTAATCTGACTTTTTATAGGAATTATATCATGATTAAAGAGCTCTTACCTCCAGCAAGCATTGCAGTAAGTACTATTCCACAAGACCAAACATCAACCGGTTCTGCATGAAATTCTCTTCTCTTCAGAAGTTCTGGAGCAACATATGGTAAAGTACCACACATCTTGTTCAACAAACGCTCACGATTATTATACCGAAATACTGTTGCCAAGCCAAAGTCTGAGATTTTGAGGTTATCTAAACCAAAAGAAAAAAAGACGGCACTGAATAAAAATGTCTTGCAAACAGATATACTTACAGGAATTAAGTTTTATTGAAAAAAAAAAAATCACTGGTGTTACTTAAGGTTTGTAGAACTTCTCTTAAAATAAGCAAAATAGACCAAATTTTAAAAAATATATATCATCATCTATGCTAAAAGTAGAAAAAGGCCTCATCTCTTCTATTAACTTAAAAGAAGTATAACCAACATGCAAAGCAGTCTGGACCAGATTAAAGCAAGAGGTTGGAGTCAGAAGGTGCTGCCCTTCTGGAAAAGAGCACTCTAAACCTGAGCTGAAAGCAAAGCAAGGCCCTTCATCAGGTAGGGTGGAAGGCAGGAAGGAAACATCTGTAATACTGATTACTGATCAGTAATCAGTATTACAACTTTCTCAGCAGCAAACAAACCCAGTTGGCAGAAGAAAATGTGTGAAGACAAACCAAAATTTAACAAACCACAATAATTTTTTTCTTTTTCAAAGTAAGGAGTCTGAGAAAAAGAGGAAAAATTCTGTACAAAAAAAAATTCAGAAGACCAAACATACACCCTAACTTCCCATCTTCAACACACAAAAACTGGAGGCAGGACTTAACTTATATTTAGTGAAGATCTACTATAACTTAGTGACAGACACTATGCCAGCCAATGCAAGTAGCAGATAAATCAGTGAAGACTGACAATAGAAAACTATTATGAAGGTTATAAAAATATAGAGCACTGCAAGATCTTAGAGCAAAGGAATCTAACCCGGTCTTAAGAGTTAGAAAAGGCCTTCTATTATCCGAGGGCAATCTGGCAAAACATACTAAAATGTGAAACATTCACTCTTTGAACTAGCAATTCCCACTTCTATATCCATAGAAATAATCCCGCAAATTCACAAACATAAGAATATCCATAGCAACATTATTTGTAAATAAATGTCCATCAATAAATGATTAAATCTTACAATACGTTTGCACAACGGAAAATGTGGAGGTAGGTTTTGAAAAAAATCAACAAGGTATATCTATACATATTGACATGAAATCGTGCGTAAGTGGGACAAAACGGCTAACGGCATAAAAAATATTATAGTATGACCCAATTTTTATATTGGCCATTTACACAAATTGATAAAAGTCATCACTGTCCTATTTTATTTTTTAAGTTAGAAGCAACTTAAATGTCTCAAAATAGGGGACTGATTCTTTAAAAATCAAGTACATTCACACAATATGTAAACCAATGAAATGTTTACCTCTATCTGACTGAGGAGGTAGCTACTGTGACTACCCTTTTTTTTTTTTTTTTTTTTGAGAAAGGGTCTCACTCTGCTGTTCAGACTAGAGTGTAGCGGCGTGATCACGGCTTACTGCAGCCTTGCCCTTCTAGGTTGAAGTGATCAATCCTCCTGCTATAGCCTCCCAAGTAGCTAGGACTCCAGGTGTACAGCACCATGCCTAATTTTTTTTAAAATTTTTCATAAAGACAGGGTCTACGTTGTGCAGGCTGGTCTCAAACTCCTAGGATCAAGTAATCTTCCCACGCCAGCCTCCCAAAGTGTTGGGATTACCGGCATGAGCAACTGCACCCAGTTATCTTTTTAATAGCTAAATATGACACTATCTGGACAAACCACCAAGATTGAGTTCCAAATTACTTATGAGTAGTAATCACTTAAAATACTAATGGATAACTAAAATATTCTTTCGACTTCGTTTTGTTATGTCTGCAACATAATACTGAGCTATGTTACAGAATTGCACATAATAAACTTTAAATTTAGGAATATGTTTAGCTCTTAGAAAAAGAAAGGAAGAATATATTTGTGATGAAATAAACAGGAGGGCGTTAAATACTGGTAACATTTCTTTTTTAAAAAGACTCCTAAATATTAAATAGAAACAAAGAATTATATCTTGTATATTAATACAAGATATAAGGAATAACAATGTAATAAACACCCACTCACTTTAGAAAAACAATGTTCTATTTCCTTGGAAATCTGTAAATACTTCCTTACATACATTCCCTCCCTTACCTTCTTAGAGGTAACCACCATTCTGAATTTGGTTTTATTACAACACCCTTGCTTTTCTGCATGTTTTTTTCCCTCCATGTTTACATCCTCAAACAATATACTAGGTTTTACATATTTTTGAACTTTGTATAAATAGAATCAGACCATATGAATTCTTTTGCAACTGTCTTTTTTTGCTCTACATCATTATATACCTGAAATTCATCCATGTTTTTATTATTGATAGGCATTTGGGTTATTTAGTTTTCTGCTATATTAAAAACATCGCCACTGTGAGCATCCTTATATACAAATAATATTGTCTTTTTAAACCAGGTGGGTTGATACATATCTATTTACATTTCATTATAATATTATATATAAGAATTTTTGTGTATCTGAATTTTTTAAGTTTTAAAAAAAGATTTTTATGTTATAGAAACTCAATGTAAAGGGGTAAAAAGTAAAATCTATATGCACATAAGAAAATAGCATGTATAGCTTGGGTGCGGTGGCTCACACCTATAATCCCAGAACTCTGGGAGGCCAAGGGAGGTGGATCACTTGAGGCCAGGAGCCCGAGACCAGCCTGGCCAACATGACAAAACTCCGTCTCTACTAAAAATATAAAAATTAGCCAGGTGTGGTGGCTCAGGCTTGTAATCCCAGCTACTCAGGGGCCTAAGTCATGAGAATCACCTGAACCGGGGAGGCAGCGGTTACAGTGAGCCGAGATCATGTCTCTGCACTCCAGCCTGGGTAACAGAGCAAGACTCTGTTTCAAAAAAAGAAAGCAACCATTTGTTAAGCACTATTCTAATACTAAGAATAAAACATCAAACCAGACAAAAACTGCCTCATACAGCTGATATTTCTTTTTTGATTCTGACCCTATAAGCTAAAGCTTTCGCTATCCATCCTTCTCAATTTGATGACATCCAGAAAATATAACTAAATTTCTTATCTATTTATCCAAGTCATACATAAAAAAAGAGTGAACAGGACAAGACTAAGGTCCAGGGTATTCCACAGGAACTTCCCTTTATTAATGCATTAAAGAATTATTTTAAACTATTCTTGGCCAGGCATGGTGGCTCATGTCTATAATCCCAACACTTTGGGAGGCTAAGGCCAGTAAACTGCTTGAGTCCAGGAGTTCAAGACTAGCCTGAGCAACACAAGGAAACTCCATCTCTACAAAAAATTAAACATTAGTCAGGCATGGTGACACCTGCCTGTAGCTGGTCCTAGCTACTTGGGAAGCTGAGGTGGTAGGATCGCTTGAGCCTAGGAGGTCAAGGCTGCAGTAAGCCCTGATAATACAGTGTACTCCAGACTGGGCGACAGACTGAGATCCTGTATCCAAAAAAAAAAAAAAAAAAAATTATTCTTATACATATAGTGAGCTAGGCTTGCACCTAGGTCAGGTTTCTCTACCTGATCCGCAATTGTATTGCATAATGAGACTTGTGATTTCCAAATATACTAAGTCTCCAAAATTTCCTTGATTTTTCAGATTTTGTCTGGAAATTCCAGTAATGCAAAAGACTTGATTTTGCCTTGTATGGCTATGTTAAAATAACTTAGGTACCAGTGATAAAATGCTAAACTTACCCCTTTCATCCAACAGAAGATTTTCTGGTTTAATATCCCTGTGAGTTATTCCAATACCATGCAGATAAACCTAAGAGGGATGCAGAGGGAAACACACTAGAATTTGGTAATGTAATGTATTCATACTAATTTTAAATAAAAGGGACATGGACAACTATACCTACCACTCCTGCCATGAGTTGATGGAAGAACCTCTGAGCATCTTGTTCAGGCATGCCTATGTCTGGCTCTAAAACAAGTATGAAAGTAAGTTTATTGACTAAATATAATCAGGTAGCAACCACATAGCTTCTTAATTTGAAGCTTAGACATTTACAAATCTACTTAGGCAAACAGAAGCAAATGCCAACAAAAGATTCAGGAGTCCACTAACACATAGAGGGCTTAACTCACATTTACCTCTGTTAGATGGCAAAAGTAGTATTACAGAAAAATTATAAAGAGAAAAACCCATATCCAAATCAAGAATGTAAGCCATGCCTTGAAAGTCCCTGCTTCCTCTTATACTAACCCTGATTCAGTAACCTTCAAATTCTCCCCTATTTCTTCTAAATGCTATGCTAATTATTTTTCTCATTCCTCAAATATAATACCAAAGGGGAAGTCTGGGCAAATCTAAGCCAATTTCGCTAAATATTTTAGAGATTATACTTCTTTCACTATTTTTTTAGAGATAGGGTCTTGCTCTTTCACCCAGGCTGGAGTGCCCTGGCGTGAGATCATAACTCACTGTAACCTGGAACTCTTGAGCTCAAGCAATTCTCCTGCCTCCTGAGTAGCTAGGATTACAGGCATGTACCACCACACCTGGCTCAGATTTAAACTTCATATAGTCTCACAGTACAAAACCACGAACGCCTGTGAGGTCCTTCATGAAAGACAGTTTCATTATGAAAATTCTTTTATCAGTTATCTTTTTATATTTTGATCTCTCTCATTAACTCCATTTCTTTTACCCTCAACTCTCTCCTGAGTCACACTGGAGATCCTAGTACCTCTTTATCAGTTTTTACTGTTAATACAATAGCTTTAAATTATAAATTTACATCCAGATTTATTTTATGTACTTCTCAGTGTTCTGAAATATCAGTCCTTTGATTCTACATAGAATGTTTAAGTATTAATAGCAAACATAGAATTTACTTAATATACAAAAAGCAATCCTAGAAAATTCTCAATTATTTCATGTGAACCAAGAGGAAACAGCATGCTATTTTAGATCTGTAAATGTATACAATGATTTCATATAACTAGAATGTCTACAAAGAAAAAATTGTGTAGGCAATACATTGCATTTAGGATACACTGCATTTATGATGTACCATAAAACTACATTTTGTCATTCTTAAATTCTGTAAGACACCAATCTTAAACCAAAATCACTTACATAACTTGGGAAAGAAGTTTTCTTTCATTGACTCTATATATGCTTTTATGTATTAATACCAGTAGGAAAAATTTTTTAAAGATAATTTATTCCAATTTCACTGTTGCATGAGCAATTTTGAAAGGACAACGACCAAATAGCATGCCCAAGATTTAAAAAACAAATTTAAAAACTTGTTTAAAATAATTATCTTAAATTTCTTCCATACCTATTCTGTCAAAAAGCTCTCCTCCACTACAGTACTCCAGAAATAAATATTGGATATTGCCTTCTCTCCTGTGACCATAGAATTTTACTACATTTTCATGATTTAGCATTTTATTGATACAGATCTCTTTCTTAATATTTTCTGGACAGTCTACGGCACGCTTCATATCTACAATCTTCACTGCGACTGCTTCTTCAGTTACTCTATTCACAGCAAGTTGAACTCTAAAAAGGAAAAAAGTTTTAACATTACAGAATTCCATTTCTTCTAAAACTTCCAAAGATTAAACATAACGCATCCAAAACTATTTTACCTTTATTACTTTTTCCACAAAGGAGAAACCAAGTGGTTTCTGCTATGTTCTCAACAGACACTACTCCTTTCTAAAATGTGAAATACAATAGCTAACCCTCCAAACACGTCATTATGCTGTCACACAAATCATTTAATAAACGCTTCATAAAATAGACTGAGGTAATTCTAAGCCACATCACATATATACATGTTCTACTCACATACTTTTAAGAGCATTAATCCCATATTATATGTGCTTGTGTAACTGTCCTAAGCTCCTATGGGGTAGATACTATTATTGCCACCCTAAAGGTGGCGAAGGAGAGGTACATAATGACATTAGGAAGCTTGCCTAAGATCACAAAACAATGACTAGTATGTGACAGAGCAAGGATCTGAAACCAGGCAATCTCCAGAGTCTGCTCATTAATCACGATGCTTAAACCCTGAGAAGCAATGTGTGGGCACGAAAACAGTAACTTCGTGTCCCTTCCAGCTTTTTACAAAGAAAACTTTTTTTTTTTTAAAGGGAAGGAAAAAATATTAATCCTAGCAAAAGACTGTGTAACTTCAGTTGCCAAAAATCTTGGATCTCAAACATCTACTCTCTAAATCACCAGAGCATGAGACTCCAAAACAATGAATATGCACTCAGAAGACGAAGGCAAGGTTAAAAGAACTCACTCTCCATAGGCACCTTCTCCCAGGGTTTGCACCAAGTCCCAGTCTTCCACAAAGGGCACTGCCATGACTCCACCGGAGCTCGGCTGTAAAAGGCAGGAATCCAGAAAAGATGGAGAGTGAGTGTAAGATCACCTGTGAAGCCACTGCGCCCCGCCGCTCCCCAGGACTCCCCACGAAAAATAACAGCTCTTGCCTTCCCCTTATATCTCATCCACATTTATCCAAGTTTTTCAACCACGAACAACTATTCTAAACTTGACCATTTTGTCGTGTAAATCACAATCGCCATTCCCACGCACACCGAAGGTTGAAATTCTGCCCTCCTCAGGCCTCAGAGGAAATTAATCGTTGTGGTGAAGAGGTGGGAGACAAATGCTTTCCGGTGAACGACTGGGGAAGGAGGAGGGAGAGGTGGGGGTCTGGGGAAGAAAGGAAGGGGATAGAGGGAGCGGAACCGGGCAGAAGACGCCTGCGGCAGCGCCTCCCTCCCAATTGCTCAATTCCAATTCCCATCCCCATCCACACCCCCACCCGTCCCAGAGGCCGGGGCGGGGCCAAACTGCCCCAAGAGGCGGAAGGAAGGGCTGGGACCCTTCCTTGGGGTTCTTAGCTAGCAGTGTGTTAGTCTCTCCTGCCCCCTCTCTACAACGGGAATCTCCTGGTACCATTCCTCCACCCTCCGAAACCGCCCCTCCGCAGGAGTCTCTCCAATCCCCTGCGCTAGTCAATGCTAACTTTCTCCCACCGTGCCCTCTCTCGCTAATCTAGACCCCGAACTCCTTCTTTAGAAGCCTTTCCTACTCTACCGGCCGCCCCTGCTCACCGGACTGTCCTTTGCCCACCACTGCAGGAATCCAAATGCAGCGCTTTTCCCGCCAAAACTTGCTGGCGTCACGCTGCCGCAAACTCGCGCACCCGTGCCGTAAAGCAAGACAGCGCGCGTTCCCGGGTCTTGCCTCTCTGAATGTCGGCGACTCCAGAAGACTGACGCCGAGAGGTTGCAGCTCCCGCCCAGAGTTGCTTTACAGTCGGGGAGAGATTCTGGCTGAATAGGTTTAAGGACGGCGGACCGCATCGGTGCGAATTGAGCTCTGGGCCCAAATATGAAGTGGCATCCGGCGTGAGGCTCGGCTGGACGGTGGTCGAACGCCTCTGGGTGAAGCCCAGGCCTCCATGCCGCGGGGTCGCGCGACCGTCCGCGCTGCGCTTCCAGGCGGGTCTGCGGGCTTAGCTCCTGGCCGCTCCGGGCCTGAAAAGCTGCACTACCACCTGCGGGAGGCCACCGGACAGGACTGTGAGGATCACAGTCAGTGCTGCAGAGTGCTTTGTAAACTTCAGAGTGCTGTACCCGTGGTGCTGGAGCCGACAAACTAGCAGCAGCAGCTGAGAGCTGACTGTGAAGAAATGAGAGGAACTCCGTGTTGAGAGGAACTCCGTGTTGGGAGCGAGAGGCATCGAAAGGACTGGCCACGCAGTCAAGTGTGTGTGGCGGGGAAAACTTCCCGGAGAAAGAAAGCAGTTTATTTTGGAGCTTGAAGTCGGGATAACCAGTTTTGCCTTTTTTCTGTGAACCAGCTCCAAAGCAATGCTTTAGTTCAGCCCAATCTTTTTGCAGGAAGACCATCTGCTTAGCTTAGTTCTACAAAAGTTTTCATTTTTAATGTGCAAAAAACAGGCGGGGAGAGCCAAAATAAATTTTACAATGCAAATTTAAAAGCCGCGAACGTCATTTAAATAGAAAAGTAAATCTGAGGAAAGAGACTCGAGAACAAAATAGGAAAAATTGAAATAAGTATTCTCTGACAGTAAACTAGACTGGAACTCAAGGATAGGCAGGATCATCTCCATTACATTCTCCAGCACTGGCCGGGCGCAGTGGCTCCTGCCTATAATTCCAGCACTTTGGGAAGGCGAGGCAGGAGACGGCTTGAGGCCAGGAGTTCAGGACCAGCCTGGGGAACATAGGGAGACCCCATCTCTACATATAAATTTTAGGAATTAGTTGGGCTTGGTGGTGTGTCCCTGTAGCCCTAGCTACTTGGGAGGCCTAGGCAGAGCAATCGTTGGAGTCCAGGAGTTAGAGGTTAGTGAGCTATGATAGCACTACTGCACTCCAGCCTGGGCAACAGCATGATTCCGTATATATATATATGTATTTTTTATGTTTATATATTTTTTATATATATTTTTTCTTAGTCCTTAAGACTGGGCCGCATACAAACACTAAGCATAACTAGCTATTATGATAATAGTAACAAAGTAAAACAAGTATAAAATGTTACTCAAGGCTGGGCCCGGTGGCTCATGCCTGTAATCCCAACACTTTGGGAAGCTGAGGCGGGTGGATCACCTGAGGTCAGTAGTTCAAAACCAGTCTGACCAACATGGTGAAACCCCCGTCTCTACTAAAAATATAAAACTTAGCCGAGCGTGATGGTGAGTGCCTGTAATCCCAGCTACCCAGGAGGCTGAGGCTGCAGTGAGCTGAGGCTGCGCCACTGCACCCCAGCCTGGGTGACAGAACAAGACTCCCTCTAAACAAACAGCCAACAACAAAAACACACATTTCTTTTAAAGAAGCAAAATCAGGAACAAAAATCAAGGAAAAAGCTCTCACAATGCTTATGTGTATAGTTTTGAATCATGACATCACAGATGAGGCTTTATGTAATCTTTTTAGTTTGTTGTTTTTGGAGACAGGGTGTGTTGCTCTGTCACCCAGGCTGGAATGCAACTGGGCAGTCTTAGCTCACTGCAGCCTGGAACTCCTGGGCTCAAGTGATCCTCCTACCTCAGCATCCCAAGTCGCTGGGATTACAGAAGTGAGCCACAGGGCCTGGTATAAAAATAAAAGCAAGTTTTTAGATCATTTATCCCATTTTCTCTTGTTTCCTCACTGTGTGCTGAAAACGAAGAGTATGAAGAAGAGGAAGACCTGCAGATTTCCTGTGTGTCTGATGGAGTCTTTTTAGCCTGAAAAAAATAAGATATACAGACTCCAGGAGAGTACCAGTGAAAGACAGAATACATGGAAATAGCCTCTATTCTCTTCTGAAAGCTTACTAAAATATTTTAATAGTAAAGGATACCAATATTTAAAAGAACCCATAAGAACAGAGTATGAGTCACATTTTGGAAAGTAGAAAGCCTTTAGATGAAAGGTAATGAAGATGAATCCCAAAGCTAGCAATGGAAAGCAGAATTAACATCACAGAACTCTCAAAAAGTTCAAGTTGAACTGGTGATACCAGGTAACTGAAGATGGAGGTAAAAATGGGACTAAAAGGGGGTAGGTTTAAAGGCTGCATAAGAAGTAAATAGATCCCTGTATCCCTTCCCTTTCTGTGTAACCAAAGAATTGTCCCTCCCCAAAGCTCGTATAAGATTTAAGCGGGTAAATGCATAGTACGTGAACTGAAGACCATTAGGCACAGTTAAAAGCTTGGGCACCTTACTGAAAACGGAGGGTTTAAGGTTAAGTTTTATCCACTGAAGGTTGAGCCTGTTAAAACTTCTTTCCCTACTCTACTCTCAGAAAGCTGACTGCCTGGCTTACATCCTTGAGTAAGAGAATGTGCAAGCCTTCTCAAGGGAATCTTACCTATGTAAAAGATAAACATCTAAAATATCAGTATCATGGATTTCCCAGTGTAACAGCCCAGCCAGATCACAGTAGACTGAAACCCACATTATTAATCCCCATCAACCCCTACAAACAGACTTTTCAATCAGCTTTTATGGGTCCCACTTTTTTTTTTTTTTTTTTTTTTGAGACAGAGTCTTGCTGTCTCCCAGGTTGGAGTGCAGTGGCATGTCTGCTCACTGCAACCTCCGCCTCCTGGGTTCAAGCAATTCTCATGCCTAGTAGCTGGGATTACAGGTGTGTACCCCATACCCAGTTAATTTTTGTATTTTTAGTATAGACAGGGTTTTGCCACGTTGCCAGGCTGGTCCCGAACTCCTGGCCTTAAGTGATCTGCCTGCCTCGGCCTCCCAAAGTGCTGGGATTACAGGCGTGATCCACTGTACCTAGCCTAGGGTCCCACTCTTAAAGAGGAGCAGACTAGCAAGAATTTGAGAAAGTCTTTAATATGAAAGACATCAAAACAAAGGAATAGTCAAACAATGACAAAAAACCCAACCCCTCTGGGCATTAAAAATATAGAAGAAAAAAAGGAAGCTATTTTAAATAGATAGATTAGAAAATAAAGTTGACGAAATCTCTGAGAAGGAAGAAGAGTAAATAGAAGAGTAAAATATAAGACTATTAGGAGATAAATTCAGGAAGTCCACCATCCAAATAACTATTTTCCAGAAAGAAAAAGAGGGTTGGGATTTCCATCCTCTTTCCTCTCTTAATATCTTGCATATATAACGCAAGAATATTTTCCAGAACTGTGGAACTTGACTTTCCATACATAAAATTCCAAACTGCTCAGCACAATAGGTGATCCACTCAAGACACAACATTGGGAAAATTTCAAAATACTATAAAGAGAAGATCCTAAGAGGTCTGGGTTGAAGGTGAGAAGGAATAGATACATTAAAAAAAAAAAAAAATTGGAACAGCATTACATTTCTCAACATATGAAAGATAGGTCAATGCCTTCCTAGTCCTAAGGAAAAATCATTCCCAATCTGGAATTCTGTACCCAGCCAACCTATCAATGGAGTATGACAAGAGACACGAAAAGTTCTCAAGAAATTTCTCTCTCACACACATTTTCTCAGGAAGGCACTTAAAGGAGATAAATCAAGAAAGAAGTCAGGAGATTAACACACAACGTGACAATGAAAAGACAGATCAACCCAAGAGGTGTGCAGCAAACCTTGAGAGTAAACCAATCCAAACGGAACATAAAGAAGAATTTCAGCCGGGTGCGGTGGCTCACGCAGCACTTTGGGAGGCTGAGGCGGACGGATCATGGGGTCAGGAGTCCAAGACCAGCCTGACCAACATCATGAAACCCTGTCTCTACTAAAAATACAAAAATTAGCCGGGCGTGGTGACGTGCACCTTTAATCCCAGCTGCTCAGGAGGCTGAGGCAGGAGAATTGCCTGAACCAGGGAGGCGGAGGCTGCAGTGAGCCAAGATCACGCCACTGCATCCAGTCTGGGAGACAGGGAACGAGACTCTATCTCAAAAAAAAAAAAAAAAAAAAAAAAAAAGAACTGTAATAGATAGCACAAATATGTCTGTTCATAGAAGTAATGGGGGCCGGGCGCGGTGGCTCAAGCCTGTAATCCCAGCACTTTGGGAGGCCGAGACGGGTGGATCACGAGGTCAGAAGATCGAGACCATCCTAGCTAACTCGGTGAAACCCCGTCTCTACCAAAAAATACAAAAAAAACTAGCCGGGCGAGGTGGCAGGCGCCTGTAGTCCCAGCTACTCGGGAGGCTGAGGCAGGAGAATGGCGTAAACCCGGGAGGCGGAGCTTGCAGTGAGCTGAGATCCGGCCACTGCACTCCAGCCTGGGCGACAAAGCAAGACTCCGTCTCAAAAAAAAAAAAAAAAAAAAAAAAAAA